AGTCAGCCACCCGGGTGGACCCAATCTAAAGAGCACGTAGGGCAGGGCCTAGCCGCGCCAGGCCTATAATAACTGTTGGGGATTAAAGCAAGGGTAGGGGTGCAGACTGAAAGTGGGTCTGGGCAAGCATCCTGCATGCTCACAAATATGCCACGGGGATGATGCAAGGGATAAGAGAAGACGAAAACAAAGCAACGGACACTTGAGTGCAATGTTACGTGGCCAAAGAAGGTGTGACCATTTTTGCATCCTTCACCAAACATTTGTCAAGGGGTTTGACTTGTGTTTTCAGACCCAATGAATGCCACCTCCATCCATCCATCCATCTGTGATATAAGCATTCAGAGGTGGGGTGGGTGATAGTGAGTGGCGAAGAGATGAATCTAGGTGTCCTTGTTCCCCTCTTGCCCAAATACCCCCTTTGCTGCAATGCCATGGAATAATGCAATAATTACTTAAAGTGGTAGAAAAGCCCATTTAAAAACACAGGAAGTGGCCTTCATTAGATAAAACAAACACAAAAATAAGAGAATCCATGTACAGGTTTGCTTTGTTTTTAAGGTTACGAGGGTTTTGATTCCATTCATTAGGTTGGCTGGTGTGGTTTTCTTTCCTTATGCCCTTCGAGCCGGCCTTGTGTAGCAGTACGTTTAAGGGTCGTTTGTTTTGTCATGTTCAGAGGCCTTTCAGCTGCCCTCATAGTTTGTGCTACAAAGCTTCTACAACAGCTCCCCAGCATGCTTTGCAGCACTTTCACATGCCTACCGTCCTTTTCCGTGTATGTTTTTTTTTTACTGGCTACACCATGTGTAATTAGTTGGATCGAGCTTTGCGTATGAAACTGGGGATCGCTTCTGACACATGTACCGCCCTGAAGGCCTGTGAAGCTTTCAATCTACGACTAACGTAACAGCTTTTTTCTAAACATGGCAGCATCAGGGGCGGATTTAGTTCGATCGAGACATTCAAATAAGAAGTCGTGTTCTGTACGGACCTGTATTTACTCATCAGTTTTTGATGTTGAAACACTGTGATTATTATAAATGTTGTTGGACAACATTAGATTAAAAGAAAAGTAGACAAAAACGTAAACAACAATGAAATTTTGCGGAGGGTTTTGGATATATTCGCGTTCATGAGATGTAAGGCTAGCTATTTCATTATTCACATCTTATTGGAGACACTTTAATCCTTCCCCCCTTTGTACTTCCTTTGTATTATTATCATTAGATAAATGTGAATGTAAAATGGATTCAATTAATGTACTTGAAGAAACGAATCTTTCCCTTTTTCCCTACGCCCGATGAGCTTTCTGAAGATTCTAGTGCCTTGCTTTTCTTTATTTAAAAGTTTCTTTTTGCTTCTGGGGTTGATTTTTAAGGCAGCGGAGAGTCTCAAATTGGTTGAAGTGCTGGCCTTCGGACTCCGCAGAAGATGAATATGAATATTTTGTGGGAACGAGGTGTTGAATGAGTGGCGTTTTGACCATTTAATGGCGCAGTCCTACTCTCAAAAAAGCTGCACAAAACACCAGCCATTACATAGCATCCAAAGGCTGCTTGAGAGTTGAGTTTAGATGCTTAGCATGAAGCGTGCATATCAACAGCGCACAACTTTCGTGTAAACCTTCGACAAAAGTGGTGTTTCTGTTTTCCAGATGGATTCATAAGCAGTGTGAGCAGTTCTTGTGAAAGGTGAGGGATCGAGATAGAAAGGCAGGACGGGGAAAGTTAGCATGCATGGGGACGCAGTATGTTGTAAGTATTTCAAAACCTCCAATAGCTAGATGTTTTTGCAGCACTATTCAATCGGTTTTGACGCCATCCAGTGTCAAAGCCCATCCGATATGTGCAGAGAGGCATGTTTTTACTCATTTAGCAACAGGTGTGACAGCAAGACGAGTGTTAAAAGGACCAGAAAGGTGAGAAGAGACGGTTAGCATCCCTCACCAACACAAGAACAAGCCAAAACACGACTAATACTCGCAGATTTTTCTGTTTGTTGTCGGCAATCCACATTTTTTAACTCACACTGCTCATATAACGCCACTGTACTGGCAACAGCCTTTGGTTTTACGGCAGATCAGTAGCTTCTTTCTTTGTAGCAATCAATCAAATCACTCTTGTAAATGCTTTAGTCTATTCGAAATGCTTAACCTGCAATGTCAAAACTACCTTATTAGCAATGTTAAACCGTGCAGATGAATAGAGAACGGTCCTGATTTACCGGAAAACACATGTACAGCTCATTTTGGGGTACAGAAACGTAGTGAAGATGCTCTTAACTACTGAAAGGACTTAGATTACAACTTGTTACGTACTTACGTACGTGCTTAGCGTGCCGTCTGCGTGAAACAACCTGGTACAGGAACTTCACTTTAGGTCAACTGTACAGTTTAGATTTTCAGCTGGCTCTCTGTGTTTAGAGAATACCTTTATCTCTTGCTTTGTACACACCGCTTTACCCCACTTTACGTTGTTCGGTTCGTTCAAACTGTGAACACATCAAAAGGTCTTTAACAAAGAGGTCCAACCTGCTCAGTGTTCAGACTATTGGAAATCCGTGTAGTACTACCTTCTGAGTGCCATGTCCTCGTTCCAAAATACGCGCAAGTGTTAATTTGCTCTCGACTGTAAGAAGCAGGTTCATCCTGTTTGACTGTAGAGGGCGCTAATGTAACTGCAGTGCAGGACGTACAACGTTAAAAAAAAAAAAAACGAGATTCACCTCTGACCTCTGATGTAAATGATTTAGCACCTTTGAAAATACAACCTCTTTGTTTTTCACTTTACTTTGAGATGATAGATATGCGTCGGTAGCGAGCTGATGTGCGAACTAGCCATCCAGTATCGATAGACACATTGTGATGGAAAAAAAAAAACATGATAAAGTTGTATTTTTTTGCATGATATATTCTTCAGTTACACAAAAGAAATGCACACAGACTCACTCACTCACTCAAAACAAGAAACGTATCTAATTGAACGAATGAAACCCACCTTTCTAGTTGCTCTCCTGTGGAAAGAAATACAACAGAACAATGTTTACTTAATGCTACTGACCTGTCATTAAGTTATTTTGTTTTGTACTACTATCCGATCCGCTTGTTTTTGCTGTCGTTAGAGTCTCTAGATGTCCTCTGGCGACTTTCATTCAGTGTTTCTTTGTTTTGTTTTGTTGTTTTTTTTTTCCTCCGTATGATATTTAACATTGTACAAAATGTTAAAAGAAATGCTTAACATGAAAACCAAACAAAAACATGTAGGGAATCATTGGCAATGTTTAACTGTATGTTTTGCACTAAGTATAGGATGTTCGAGCTTCATATAAAACTGCGATTTGCGCTCCAATAAAAACAGCATTTGTTACCTTATTTGTAAACTTAATAAAAGTCATTTAAATAAATAAGCCTGCGTCTGTCTGACTATCTATCTATCTATCTATCTATCTATCTATCTATCTATCTATCTATCTATCTATCTATCTATCTATCTATCTATCTATCTATCTATCTATCTGTCTATCTGTCTGTCTGTCTGTCTGTCTGTCTGTCTGTCTGTCTGTCTGTCTGTCTGTCTGTCTATCTATCTATCTATCTATCTATGTTCATACACAAATCCAGTTGTTCAAGGAATATAGTTATGATTTGTATATAATCTACCTGGTAAAAGTCTTGTCGTCGATCCCAGTTGTAAGAGCAACAAATAATTACTTCACTTCTTCGTTTTTTGAACTGTTGTTGAACTGTTGATCTGTTAAACTGCATCACAAATACTGCAGAAGACCTACTGGAACCCACATGGACCCAATATTCTCACAGTTTTAGTCAAGTTTGGTGAAGGAAAAATCATGGTTTGGGGTTACATTCAGTAAGGGTCATGCAGTCCTCCAAGCTCATGGGAGTCATACACAATATTCATTCTGTTTACACTGCAGCATGACTTTATATTCTATACTGGACATTATTTCTGTTAAGTGACAAGACTTTTGTCTAAGCAAAGTCAGATTTAACTGTCCTAAATAAATCATTAAAAATCAAGACATGATCATAATTTATTTTGGTAAAATAAGCGTAATCTAGAGGCCTTTGCCTTTCATATAAGCCACTTCTCATATCAAGTGATTAACTAGAAGTCAAGTTATTATTTGTTGTTCCTAAAACTTAAATAAGCAACAAGACTTTTTTTCAAGGAGTGTCACCCCAAAAAGCAAAAAAGACGCATCACATCAGTGCAATTTAAAAACAGAGACAAGGCAATTGAAAACACTTTCTTTGTATTTGCAGCATTAAAGTATACACTTTACTTTTAGTTAATACTGTGTGCTTTCTATGTGTACAAAATCACTTGCGTCAATTTCATTTGATGCACTGCCAAAATGGGACTTTTTTTAAATTTGTATTTTAATACAGACGTTTGATAAGGGTGTGAATGACACCATGTGTGCCCTTGCACTCGGTGTCCTGTCCTTTCAAAATGAGTACATGCCCTACTCTTTGTGAATTTGCCAACACTCACTCCTCCATATTCAAATCTGTACTGGGTGACTAAAAAAACAAGTTTCTTTAAAAAAAATGAAGCCATTACACTTCTGTATGATTGTTTTTGACCAAGTCAGAAAAACAACTTTCCTGCAAAAAATATTCTTTAAAGTGCATATTAATATTATAGAGGCTTTTGTTGTATAGTCCAACCAGTAATTATCATAAAAATGCATAAGAAAAATTATGATAAAATAATGACAAGACATCAACATTTGTAAATAGTTATATTCACCTTTTTATATTCAATTTAATATTTTTATTATTAATTAGATCTGTCTTTTTTTAAATGTTGGTGAAATTTTTTGAATGCCTTGCGTTTAGGCTTTCCACACAATGTTATGCTTTCTGTGCAACCTGTGAAATGCAAAACAACCAGACTGAAACTCCACACAGCGACTCCTGGGATTGAAGCACCTGTTGTTCCTCTTTTGAAGGATTTTTCTGACTGCACTGGCTTTATAAAGAGGGTGAGGATTTGGTAACATTCATACGGACACCAGTGCGAGTGAAGTATGAGTTAATATACTATAAGTTCAATATTTCTGTCTTAAATCTTTATTATAATCCAATCTGTTTTGTTCCTCAGCCATGGGAGTCCTTTATGATCTTCGGCTGGTGTCTCTAGCCGTATTGATGCTGGCGTTTCACCTGGACTTTGGCAAAGCTGACGTCCGAGTGTTTGATATTCACGCCATGGACCTCTCTGGAGATGTCATCGGAAACAAGCCCGATCCGTATATCAAGATCTGGTGTGGCTCTACTTTTGGAGGGATGACGGAGTTTCTCAACGGTACTAATAATCCTGAGTGGTCTGCAGAGTTCAGCTTCCCCATATGCAAAGCTACTGAGATCCTGAAGCTGGAGGTGTGGGACAAAGATCTGTTTTTTGATGATAAATTGGGCACATGTACTAGAACCGTGCAGTATGGGTCATTTGACATTCCTTGTCATCTGTCAAAAGGAACTCTGTTCTACAAGTATGAGTTGAGATGATTTGTACCAAAGCTTATTTGAGACAAATTTCCACTGCAAGTAGATTGATGGTAATAAAAAATGTCTTGATCGCTCTGCAGAGTATGTTTTCGCATTGATATGCAAATTATCAGCCCTCTTCTTTTTCACATATTTTCCCAAATGATGTTTAACAGAGCAAGGAATTTTTCACAGTATAATATTGTTTCTTCTGGAGAAAGTCTTATTAGTTTTATTTCAGATAGAATGAAAGCAGTTTCTACTTTTTTCAATATTATTAGCTCCCTTCAACAGTATTTGTTTTCGATTGTGTACAGAGCAAACCATCTTTATACAATGATTTGCCTAACTACCCTAGTTAAGCCTTTAAATATCACTTTAAGCTCAATACTTGTAAATTGAAAACTATAAAGCCAAATATTATGTCCTGTCATCATGGCAAAGATAAAAGAAATCCGTTATTAGAAATGAGTTACTAAAACTGTTATGTTCTTTCTATTAAACAGAAATAGGGGGAAGAAAATATACAAGGAGACTAATAATACTGACTTCAGCTGTATGCTTGGTTGAAATTGAATGCTAATGTATTTCCTCATTTGTTAAACGCTTTCAATCTGTTCATTAAAAATGCTGATAAAAGCTTTAAGATGATCAAGATAGTCTCTTATTCAATAGTTACTAATGTCAGGCAACAATTAATTATCCAAAATAAAATTATGTATTTAAATAATATGTGTGTGTGTACTTTGTATATTTGTTATTGATATATAAATGGGGTATATGCCGAAGCATGCTAATAGGACTTTTAATTTGCCAGTAACCTGGGTTAAGCGCTTCCGGCGATTTGAATGCCAATGCAAAATCCAGTGCGTTTAAGGTCTGTTTTCTTTAAAAATTGGCGATCTCCACTAGCTGAGTGATATCCGATTTAAAGTGGGTCTCAGATTGTACAAGGAGCACTGCATTAAATTACATTTCCCCCGCCATGTCTATATAATATGAGCATTTATTTTACCCCAGTATATTCAATGGAGCTTCTGCGTTAGCCTGCCGATTCTGACGGGCGCGTGCGATTAAACAGCTTTTTGTCTCGTTTTACGCATGAGCAACTAAATAAATGCTAAAGTTTATTTAACTGAATGTATTTTAATGACATTACAACATCGATGCTGTATAAGGAACCGTATAAAATGGTAACAAGTTCACAATAACAGGTCACCAGGTATCAGCATGGGAACTGCACTAGCTCGGCATATACCCTATACACATATACAATGTGAAAAATGATATGATCATGACGATATACTGCTTTTATATTAACCTAATTATATTTCTAACTTATTGTTTAAGTTAAACAAGATTTTTAAAGTCTGTTTAAGGTGTTGTAAGTTAAAATGAGCATAATTTGATTTAATTTAAGAGTTCTCACTTGGATATTGCTTGATAATATTGGTTAGTTTGGCATGCTGTCCTGAGAGAGAACCCTGAGTTCGGAGATAGATGAAGCCAGGGCTCCAGCCTGGTCGAAAAGCATGTAGGGGGGAATACGAGATCAGGTAGTTCTCGAGAGCTCACCTGGTAAAAGAGGGAAGGGGGGAAGATGGGGTGGATGGTGAGGTTGGAGTAGTTTTAGACAGGCTACTTATAGTGAGTTTGGATTAATCTGATTACTTGCGATTGCAGATGCGAGACCTGCCATGATTAATTGATATAGCTCCTCTTGAAATTAGTTTGTGAAGGTTCACTTAAAAAAATTAAGGCAACCAGTAATATTTTACAGCACTGTAAAATAAAATAAAAACATTGACTCAACGTTTAATTTTAAGGCAACCAGCTTTAGGATGCTTTAGAGAATACTCCGTTTAAATCGAGTGGCAGTACTGGGGTTGAAAGTTGAGTATACTCAATTTTCTGAAGCTGGTTGTATTAACATTTTAATTTGAATCAATTTAAAATTGTGTAAAAAATGTTTTAAAAAACACTAATGTACAAAACTAAAACATGCATTCGTGTATATTCATATATGATTTGAATTTCGATGATCTCTTGGACACTTGTACCATAGCGGTGCAGAATGGGTCATTACCGTTTCCTTGTCACCTTTTTTTGTATAGCGCTTTTACAATGTAAATTGCGTCAAAGCAGCTTTACATAGAAGATCATAGTAAATTAAAACAGTGTAGTTCAGTTTTCAGTGTTTAAGTTCAGTTCAGTTTAGCTCAGTTCTGTGGGGTTTAATAATCTCTACTGAGAGTCCAAACACTGAAGAACAAATCCATCGATGCGCAGCTCTACAGATTCCGAACCATGCAAGCCAGTGGCGACAGCAGCGAGGAAAAACCTTCACCAATTATGAGTTTAAGCAATACATTTATATATATATATATATATATATATATATATATATATATATATATATATATATATATATATAATAAAAACTCTGTAATAATATATAAGATATATATTAACCGTCAAAACTACTGTAACTTACTGTAAATCAATTACCGCAAAAAACGGTATTTACATTTACAGTACTATTATATTGCTGTGTATTTGTTTACAGTATTGTATGTATATCTTTACTGTGAAATATTTTCACAATGCAACTTAAATACAGTAACATACTGCATAACCCTCATACATTATGATGGTTTATATTACAGTTAAATGCTGTGTCATTTGTATATATGCAAAACAAATCTTGATATATATCAATATGTCCACTCTTGTGTGCATTTATATATAATAAATAAACACTGCTCACACATATACCACTGTAGATGTTTAACCATTAATTAAGACCAGATGGATTCACGCTTTCATGGTGTTCATGCCAAGTTTCGGCCCTACTATCTGAATGTTGCAGCAGAAATCGAGAATCAACGGATCAGGGAGTGTAATTCGTTACTGTGTTCTTGGAGACCTGACAAAAATAAACAGGCCAACACAGAAAATGAACACACATGGGAATTCACCACCTGTTGATCATCCTTTGTAAGATTTCAGCGACCGCATCGGCTTTATAAAGGGTTTGAGAATCCTAAAGCGTTCACACTGCATCCAAAACAAGTGAGGTAAGGCTTCTTGCTACTGTTAACATTGAATTTATGCTCTTATTTCTGTATTAAATCTACCATATTCTTTCTGACAGTCATGGCAGCCTTTAATCATCTCCGGCTGGTTTCTCTGGCCGTGCTGATGCTGGCGTCTCAGCTGGACTTTGCCAGTGCTTCTGTTCGGGTGTTTGCTTTATATGCCAGAGACCTCACTGGAGATCCTGCCGGAAACAAACCCGATCCATACGTCAAGATCTGGTGTGGCTCTACTTTCGGGGGGCAGACAGAATATCACAAGGATAACGCTAATCCTGTGTGGTCTGCAGAGTTCAACTTCCCAAACTGCAAATCGAAAGAAACCCTGAAGCTGGAGGTGTGGGACAAAGACCTGAATTTCGATGATAAGTTGGGCACATGTACTAAAACTGTGGAATATGGGTTGTCCTCTGTTACTTGTCATCTGAAAAAAGGATCTCTGTTTTACAAGTATGAGCTCAAGCAATAAATATGTTCTAATGTGTAACTAGCTAGAAAAAACACTGAACAATATGCATTGAATATAGCCTTTTGAATATGCTCTGTATGCAATTGATATTCAATAAAATCTACTTGGAGAAATGCTTCTTGTGAGGGGTCTTTCAATGAAGCAAGATTTAATTTTCTGATCATGTAAACCCAAAATAAATAATTAACCAATAAATAAAGGTTATTGGGGTGCAGATGTTATGAAGATCCCTAACCAAAACAAAACCCATACAGTGAAAACCTACTGTATACAAACCAAAACCTGACTCCTGACTCCTGACTCCGCGGTGACTGCAGCTCTGCACAAAACTTTTGGCCAGCGGAGAAATTAAAATGGTCGTGCCCAACTGAGTCTGGTTCTCTCAAGGTTTTTTTTCTTCACTCCCATCAGGTGAAGTTTTTTTTCCCTCTCCGCTGTCGCCACTGGCTCGCATGGTTCAGGATTGGTAGAGCTATGCATCGATGAATTTGCTCTTCAGTGTTTGAACTCTCAGTAATGATTAAATCACACTGAACTGAGCTAAACTGAACTGAACTGAACTTAAACACTAAAAACTGAACTACACTGTTCCAGTTACTATGACCATTTATGTGAAGCTGCTTTGACACAATCTACATTGTAAAAGCGCTATACAAATAAAGCTGAATTGAATTGAATTGAATTAATACGAAAGGGGGTCATTCTAATTCACACCAAGAATTAACCTTGTTTTTTTTTTTTTTTTTTTTTTACATTATTATGATACAATGTAATAACCAATTCACCATGATGTTGAACATTTACAACAGTGAAAAAGTGTAGTAAAACTATGGTTAGGCAAATCAAAGCAGTAATAAAGCCCCATTTCTTACTATAATAGCTAATGTAGGGGCTGTTCAGAGTTTAAAATAAATAAATAAAAAAATAAATAAACTGTCATATAGCATAGGCTACTTAAGTCAATAGTAGCCAACTTTATGAGGTAAACACATCCATTACGTTTCAAGATTAATGCCGTCACGTCATTATTACAATAACTCCAACATCAGGTTAACAAGTTTTATTTTAACCTTGGACGCACACAATACACGTGTAATACCTTTACATTCGTGTCGTGTGGTTATGTTCAATTATGCACACCAGACGAGTCGTTTATCGCTTCATGTGAATCGTGAGAATGAATGAATCGATTCATCCAATACACAAGCCAATCACGCATAACGCAACGTCAGGTGAAGATCATCAGGTAAAGTGACTTTTATTTTTAGTTTGTTTGGGCACAGATAATACTCTATAACTTACAGTCAATTTACGTAACTTCTTTCCTTCCCTCAGCATTCTACATCACGAACAGTAAACGTTAACAAAGTACTCCATGTCTCCACAGAAGAAAGACGCGATGCGACACGAGGGTGAGTTCATTTCATTGTGAGCAAGATTGTCCTTTTATTTATTACAGAAATTAGTTTGTTATAGTAAAAGTCATGGTGGTGGTGCACTACAAATGTTGGGTTTGTTGTTGTTTTATTTTTTTATTTGTATGTTTGTATTTGTATGTATGTCATTACACCACCTAAATAGCTACCCTGGTTAAAATGTGTTTACTGTAGCAAAATCATGATTTATTTTTGGTTAGCCGAGGTAAAGTGATTAATATTTTTACTATTTATCCTGGGGTCTCTGGGGTTTAATTCGGGTCACTGTTCTTATGTAATTTGAGCAGTTTGTCAATATTTATCTGACCCTGATCTTATTTGATAAAGGTGTGTGAATTACCCCACATGTGCACATGCACTCTGTGTCCCCCCAAGTCTGTACGTGCACAACTTTCTTTCAGCAACGAATCCATTTATTCATTCATTCATTTTCTTTTCGGCGTAGTCCCTTTATTAATCAGGGGTCACCACAGTGGAATGAACCGCCAACTTATCCAGCATATGTTTTACACATCGGATGCCCTTCCAGCCGCAACCCATTACTGGGAAACATCCACACACACACATTTACACACGTACACTACCGACAATTAAGCCAACCAAATTCACCTATACCGCATGTCTTTGGACTGTGGGGGTGACC